TTTTAAGGTCAGCTGCTAAACAGAAAGGTCAGTAGTTCAAATCCGCCAGTTGCTTTAAGGGAGAAAAATGAGGAATCCTCTTCTATAAAGATCTACAGTCTCAATAATATGATGCAAGGTCGCTATGACTCGCAATAAATTCAACAATAGTGAATTCAGGGTTTAGTTATGATTAAAATACAGTCTAATGTATTAAAGGGAGCTCTGGTGGAGCAGCAGTAGGAAACTGTGCTGCAATCCCAAATGTACATGGTTCAAAACCACCAGGTGCTGCGTGAGAGAAGGATGGGCAGTCTCCTCCCATCTAATTTACTGCCTCTGAAAACCCACTGGAAGGTCAGCTCTGAGTCAGTTCCAACTCAATGGCACATGACAACAACAACAATGTATTAAAGAAAATAAAAAAGTTAGTGGTCTTGGCTGTTAGTGATAAGAGTTTCCTAGTAATAAATTGTGTGCACTGAGAGATTTTGGAGAGCTCCAGTTGCCTAGTGGATAAGGAGATGCTTTACCAACCCAAAGGCGTGTAGTTCGAATCCATCAGCAGCTCCTCAGGAGAAAGATGGGCAATCTCTTCCTGTGTTATTTAGAGCTTCTAAAAACCTGTTGGAGGGTCAGTTATGAGTCAGTTCTGACTCACCAGCAAAGAGCGAGTGAGTGAAGAGATTTTCTTATATTTTTTTCTTAAAGGCTATGATAGAGCTTTATTTAAAAAATAAAGCTTTTAAATTAAAAAAAAAAATAAAGCTACAATCCACTCAACTCTGTCCCTCCCCAGATAATCTTACTGTGCACAATTAAATTATGCTCTGAACTTAATGCTGACCTTTATTTAGGGATGTCTCCCAAATCAAATTGAGCTTTCTCCTTTTGGCCACTTCTAAGATGCTTGTTTCTGCTCTTCTAGAAGTGATTGGTTTGAATTAGAAGAAAAGTATTATTTCCTCAAAGTAAACAGAAACCAGTGTTGCTGTACAGAAATACAATAGATGGGGAGCTTTAACCAGTGATAATTTCTTTCCTTGCCATTTAGAAAGTGGGAAGCCTGAATCCAGAACTGGCTATAGAGGAAAAACTCTGTGTCTGTCTTAGAGGAAGGCCCTTATCTCTTCAGGATAAGCTTCTGATTCTTGGCCCCTCGGAGTTCTCAAAGTGTCTTGGCATCTCTTATACTCCGCCTCTGCTTTTCTTACAGTTCCAGCTCTTTTCTATGTCAAAGGAGATTGATTCAAGATACACTCTGCACTAATGCTATCTTATCAGCCTAACACTAACAACCCATTCCCAAAGGGGATTATAAGCCCCCTGTTGTTTAGGATGTATAATACACTTCTAGGGGCAGGGTGCACAATTCCATCTGAAACAATGGAAGAGGACAGATTTACTTCCTAATCATATTTCACATAGCTAACAGGTTATTTGGTTCCCCCCCCCTTTCTAATGACTTTACAAAGAAAAAAACAAACATGCAAACCCAGTTTACTGCTGTGGAATATTCCAACTCCTGACAACTCTAAAAGACAGAATAGAACTGCAATGCAGTTTCCAAGGTGTAAATCTTCACAGAAGAAGACTGCTGCATTTGCCCTCCTCTCTGAGAGTAGCTGGTGTGTTTGAACCACTGATTCACCAACTTTTTAGTAACCAACTAAACATTAATCATTGGACCAACAAAGTTCTATTGATGCCTTTATGGAATATGTTGTTTTATAACAGAGTTGGAACTGACCGATAGCTGACCCTCCAGTGAATTTTTAGAGACAGTTTGTTAATAGCATGGGAGGAGATTGCCCATTCTTCTCCCATGGAGCAGCTGGTGGCCTTGAACTCATGCCTTCAAGATTGCAGTGCAGCTTCTTGCCACTAGGCCACCAGAGGTCCCTTATGGGAAACA